CCAATGACAATCACTGCTGCAAGTAGAAAGGCCTAGAATTGTCAGTGGTTGCAGTGAAGAGCGATGTACTGTTGCTAGGCCATATTGCTGTGGTGTGACCTGTACAGCAGTGTGAGTGAGCTTTAAAAATTTGTTTTCCATGTCTACTTTAACATAAAGTATATTCTGTTCTGTGAGAAACCATCTGGAGTATTGTATTCAGCTCTGGGGCATGCAGCATAAAATAGGAGAAGATCTAGAGGAGGGAGAAAAAGATGAACAGAGGAACATCTCTCCTATGAAGAAGGGCGAGAGCTGAGGTTATTTAGCCAAGAGTGTATAAGGTTCTGGGAGACCTCACAGAATCATAAAATCACAGAAATACCAAGATTGGAAAAGACCTATAAGATCATCCAGTCCAACCATCCACCTATCACCAGTAGTTCTCACTAAACCATGTCCCTGAACACAACATCCAAACGTTTCTTGAACACCTCCAAGGTCGGTGAATCCACCACCACCCTGGGCAGCCCATTCCAGTACCTGACCACTCTTTCAGAGAAGTATTATTTCCTAATGTCCCGACTAAATCTCCCCTGGTGCAGCTGGAAGCCATTCCCTTTAGTCCTATCATCAGTTACACAAGAAAGAGGCCAAGCCCCAGCTCACTACAACCTCCCTTCAGGTAGTTAGAAGAGCAATGAGGTCTCCCCTGAGCCTCTTCTCCAGACTGAACAATCCCAGCTCCTTCAGCTGCTCCTCATAAGACTTGTGCTTCAGACCCCTCACCAGCCTTGTTGCCCTTCTTTGAACCCGCTCCAGGGCCTCAGTGTCTTTCTTGCAGTGAGGGGCCCAAAACTGGACACAGTACTCAAGGTGCAGTCCCATAAGAGCTGAGTGCGGGGACAGTATCTTCCCTGTTTCTGCTGGCAACACTGTTTCTGATGCAAACCAGGATGCCATTGGCCTTCTTGGCCACACTGGCTCATGTTCAGCTGAGCATCAATCAATATCCCCAGGTCCATTTCCTCTACACAGTCTTCCAGCCACTCTGCCCCAAGCCTGTAGCGTTGCCTGGCGTTGTTGTGGCCAAAGCGCAGGACCCGGCATTTGGCCTTGTCGAACCTCATCCCATTGGCTTCAGCCCAGCTGTCCAGTCTGTCCAGATCCCTCTGTAGGGTCTCGCTACCCCCAGGCAGATTGACACATCCAGCCAACTTGGTGTCACTTGCAAAGTTACTGAGGGTGCACTCAATGCCCTCATCCAAGTCATGAATGAAGATATTGAAGAGGACAGGCCCCAACACCAACCCCTGGGGAACACCACCTGTGACTGGTCACCAGCTGGATTTAGCTCCATTCACTACCACACTGGGCCTGGCCCTCCAGTCAGTTCTTTATACAGCCAAGAGTCCACCTGTCCAAGTCAAGGGCTGCGAGCTTCTGCAGGAGAAACCTCCTTGTAGCCTTCAAATATTTGAAGGGGACTTAGAGGAAAGATGGGGAGACGCACTTTGTCAGGTATTGTAGCAACTAGAAAAGAGGTAACTATTTAAAACCAAAAGATGGTAGGTTTAGATTATGTATCAGGAAGAAATTCACTACTATGAAAGTGGTGAGGCACTGAAAGTTTGCCCTGAGAAGCTGTGGATGCCCTGTGTCTGGAGATGTTCAAGGCCAGGTTAAATGGGGCTCTGGGTAGCCTCATCTAGCGGGTGGCAGCCCATGGCAGAGGAGCTGGAACGAGATGATCTTTAAGATTCCTTCCTACCCAAGCCATTTTATGATCCCGTAAATAACACAAATATTGGAGGTACATAATTAGAAGTAGTCTCTTGGAAAGACATGTTTTAGACACTCACGGACTGGCACAGATCAAATGAAAACAGGACTGCTAAGTACAAAAATAGTAAACAAGAGCTGTAATGGATTTTATTTTTTATTCTGCAGACATCAAATTTTCTGTCACAGAAGGTTTCTGGAATTCAATAAATACCATATTCAGAACTATATATACCATATTCAACCATATTCAGAACTCCTTAACTGGGAGAAATGTTATACAGTGATTTGACCTGAAAGTTACTATGTCCACCTCTTTCTGTGAAATATATGCTCCTGATTCACTTGCTGAAGTTGTTTCTAAACCTTCATTTATGGAAATCCTTAAAGAAGGGTCTGTCTTCATGTCATTGAAGATTTAGGCTCCACTGTAGGCTGAAAGAAAATCTCTTCTACTCTCTTTAAAATCTTTTTTTTTTTTTTTTCATTCAAGTTAGCATTTATGAGTAAAAAGCAGATAAATCCTTAATCTAGAGTAACAGCCAAAAACACATCATTCTCAATGGGACCTGGAGATCTCCAGCATTCATAAGTGCATCTTCTTCTTCCTCTCATGAAAGATTTGTCCAGAAGCTCTGCACTCCGAAGTGGAGAGTATTTGAGCAAAAGCAATTACCCCAAAGTACTGTGTTATTTCCCTTCTTTCCTACCCTCCAAATTTCCCCCAGTCTACTTCTATTGAAAATCCATACACAGGAAAAATACTTCTCAAAACTTAGGAGATACTGCTTATATAAAAAGGTCTATCTTAAAAAATCAGTTTCAAGTTTTAAATGTATTTACCTACAAAGTAAATAAAATAGCTGTAACTACATTAGCGTAAGTAGCAATGTTCTAGAGAAACAAAAGGGAGTGATTTATTAAGTTATCCCTGCCCAGAAAAAAAGAGAAAATACTGTTGAACATATGCTTCATTTTAAATACAGATGGCATTAAGCACATGCTTCATTTTTTTTTCTGAGGCAAGACTAAAAACTGAAAACCATAGCTATGTAATGCTTTGTCATGTTACAGGAGAATCAACTAAAATGTTGCCATTATATTCTTTCATATGATTTCAATATCCTGCCTGAGCAAGAGAGTTGGACCAGATGACCTCCAGAGTTCCCTGCAATCTCAACCATTTTGTGATTCTGTGAATACAGTACAGATGAAAGCATGTTACAGTTTTATGCCTTTTCATAAGATAATCAATAGAAAGTGTCATCAGTGTTTATGTAAATACTAAAATAATGATAATAATAATTAATAAAGGCAAACGTGTCATTTGGATCATTCATTTTTCTTTATTGAATTTTGATGAAAAACAGTCCATTTGAAATATGTCCAGAAACCATTTCAATTCCAAATGCTCAACACAAAAACTTGGTATCAGAGTTCAAACATATAAAGTTACATCTTATTATAATTTAATATTTAACAAAGCTAATCATTTTTGATTTTGAATAATTAAGCTTACAAAAATAATGTTACAGTTATAAAATAAATCAGCTTTTCCCAATAAATTACAGTAGTGTTCCTCTTATTCAAAAATGTAATATATTGTACAAAATAGATAACATCTTTTAGTAAGATAAAATACTAAAGTATGTTTTTCATCCAGTACATTTTGGCAGTGTGTGAAACCATGTTATTGTACATTTAATATCTAAACAACAAGTGTGAAAAAACTAAACCCATTATGTTATTACATTAATTGCTTATATAAGGCAGGAGTACCCAATCCAGGGGCCATTTTATATTTCAAGTTACTTTTATTTAGTCAGATCAATCCTGTCATATTCACAAAAATGGCCTATTTAATCTCACCCAAAAAAGTCACACATATCTAGTCACAGCCAAACATTCACTTTCTGAGAGGGTCACAAAAGTGACCTCAGTCAACATTTGGGTGTCTCATGCATGCTTTATTCTTTTTCTCACAAAGTGAGAAAGCTGGTGGACTACATGGAGAAACGGCACAGTTCTGATACCCCTAAAGTTTATGGCAAAACTTTGATACTTTATTCTGTCATAAAAAGTCTTACTAAAAGGGTCTAGTAAAAAGAGCAATGAATTGATAAAACAAACAAACAAACAAACAAAAAACACCAAACAGTAACCAGCAAAAAGAAAAACACATTCTATAAAGCAAAAGGTAAACTGTAAGAGCTACTGTATGCAGATCTAAGTACAAAAGCAACTGCTTCAAAATAACAAGAAGAAACGCAGCATCTACCTTGTGGTAAATGTATTTTCATTAAAGCCCTTTAACTGTTTAGGTCAGCTCAATATTTACTGTGTATTTTCTGCCTACAAAAAAAAAAAAAAAAAAAAAAAGTATATGAAGTAACTTTAAAGGCCAGTGGTTTAATTATACCATCTTTGGATGCTGTGATTAAGGCAAATGTCTGATTCAGAATGAACAACTTCTCACCTTGCAGAATTTCTGACTCCATTGTGTTTCATCTTTGCCATGGTTCAGCAAACTGCAAATATTTTTCCTGTTTATTTCTTATATAGCCTTCTGGGGGAAAACAAACAAACACCTACTTTGAAGTATTAAAAGAAAAGCATTGCTGTCTGGAATAAATAAAATGTGCAAAGTGGCAATTTTCTTAGATATCATTACTGTATGAACAAAATAATCACTTTATGTTTTATAAGAGATAATTTTCAAAAATTCTTAATGAATATATACCCATGTGAGCATATGTCACAACAGCCCCTTTGTGCAAACTGACAGAGGGTCTATATCTAGATCAGTTAATATAGACTCCAGAAGGAAAATTTCAATCGATTCTGGATCCTTCAAAACTGGGAAAGGAGGAAGAGGAGTCAAAGGACACTCATCACAGTCAATTCATACCAAACACCTGAAAATTCTGAGTTTGAAATCCAAATGAAAAGTACACGATGTACTAGTTATCTTTATAACTTGAAATACCATGGCTCAAATGAGGAACATTTGGAGTTGAATTCTATCACTTGATATATATTCTATCACTAGACATAGCATATCTATCACTCGAGTTAGCAAATCATGTCTCCAGATATAGATCTACAATATAAATATGTAGGTTGCTCTGAAAGCAATGCCTCCTATTTATTTCATGGAAAGTACAACAGGAGTACAAAAATACTATTTGATAGAGCAAATTCTCAGCTACAGAATGCTATTTTTCAACAGTCACCAGCTTTAGCTATACATTTTTGCCAGTGATGAACATGAGCTTGCATGCCACGCCCGTAAATATATGCACCACTGGAGGCAATTCACTGTTTTACAGTTTCTGTGACATTGTTGATAGAAAAATGTTGGCTATGTAGTCCATCTTTCCTCAGCCCAAATAAATGGAAGTCAAAAGGCACCAAATCAAGACTATATGCTGGGTGTGGTATGACAGTGCTGCCCAGATTGTTTGTGTGTTCCATGATCTTCAAACTGGTAAAGGGCCTGGCATTATTGTGTTGCAGGAGAAAGGCTGTCTTCTCTGGTCTGACTCTGAAAGTTTAAACTTTCGACTTAGTCAGTCTCATGATGTAGCTGTCAGAGTTGATGGTTTGTCCAGGTTCCAGGAAATCCAGAAGGATTGTCCCATTTTTGTCCCAAAAGACAGTGCACATCACCTTTCCTGCTGAGGGATGAATCTTGAACTTCTTCCGTAAAGAATTCGCATGTGTCTACTCCATGGACTGCCATTTTGACTCAGGCTCATAGTGGTGACACCAGGTAGTCCAGAAAACTGTCACTGCTTTCACCAGTGCTGAAATGCACACATTGCACCACTGCATTCAAACCCACTGTTTGGCCTCCATAAACACTAAGCAAGTGTTGATGAATGTCAATAATTTTTCCATATGAAGGAATTCAATTCCATACTTTTGCTTCACACACACTCCCATGTCAGATATCTCAGACTGCCCCTCCGCTGACATCCATCACATGGTAACAAAACATAATGGATTATTGGTGGTAAGGTTTGATCTCTACTGCCATACTACCAACATCCACCTCTGCCATTGTGACACAGCATAATAAAATAGGAGGCATTACTTTCAGAGCAGATCTGATACAATTATTAAGTAGGTAAAGTTTGGTAGGTAAAGAGTGATTGCCAGTGCATTCACCAGACAGTTAGACAAATAACACAATGACTACATTTACATTAGTAAGTTAAACAGTACAAGTCCATATACTCCAGGCTTGAGGTCAACTGACATGGCCTGGCCATGTTTCTACAGTTATTCTCCGTAAAGAAAGATGGCATTATTGAAAGTGCATAGTAAAAAGTGTCCCTAGACAGGCCTAATTCCCAAAATGCCCTGAGAAATCATCTGGGAGAGAAGTAGTCCAGACCATTAAAAATTCAGAGCCCTTTTTTAACTCTTTAGTAATATAAATGGTAGCACTCTGGTGTCTATACATCCATGCCTAGGTACTGTCTCGTTGAGTACTATAGACATCACTGTGTATGTAGATTTCAAAAAGTTCTCAAACGTCTTCACACATGGCAAGCTCTCCCTCTGACTCATACAAATTCGTTGCAGGAAGGATTCAACTCTTTTGTTGAAATTTTACTTGAAAGAGATGCTTCTTTCAAATCAGTATTTTTGAAAACGTATTGAATACTTCTATCCATTCAGTATTTCCTTGTTTTTATTTAGAATATGTGCTTTGTTTGTGGAATCTTGGCTTTCGTTTGACTAACGCACTTTTTCATGCCTACAATTCACAGCTAAACAAGTCCTAGCCAGTTCAGTCACAATGAAAAAGAAAGTTATATACACAACTAAAACAATAATATTAAGATGACAACTAAAACAGAAAATAAAAAAAAAAAAATGAATCTGTGCAGTTAAGAGATCTAAAAATAACATCAACCTTTATACATTTTTATCAGACTGCAGTGTCCACAGTTACAGCTCTGCATAGCAGTCAGTACAGTGAGTATTACTTTTCAAATCATAAAGGGTCTCAAGAAACACCCACCGTAGTGGCTGCTGGGGAAATAATTTTCCTTATCATCCTGAGATTTTAAACGTGCAAGTTTCCTACCAAATTATCTAGTGCATAAAAAGGAAGGGGGAATGGAGGGAGGGAGAACTGAAGGGAAAGAATGGGGGAAATAAGGAAGGTAGAAGAGCAAGACAAAGAAATATTATCACAATGATTTTTGTTTCAAAATAGACTGCTGTGCAATTACTGAAGCCTGATTTGAAGATATTTTGTATTCTTGTCCAGAGCCTTGAGGAGGGGAAGGTAATGGAGTCTCTGGTGTTGCTGAAAAAGAATTCAGAAAGAATTGCACTTTTTTATATTCTGTCCAATTCTGCACAAATATATACATACTACTGACCCCAAATAAAGTTCTTCTACATTTGTCATGCTAGGCAAATAGGACATTATTGGAGATTTCAGCTTGTCAGCAACTGTGCACGTAAAACCAATGATGTATCAGAATGGTGCTAAATTGTTAAAATTAGATTAAATTCAAGTCAAAGACTCGTCACATACATATTTACAAATATGTTTTTAATGCACAATTATTTTATTCCTTATGAAATAACTCTATAAGCACTGACAGGCCACCATTTTAATTAATATGTTAAACTGTAAGACTGAAATGTTATGATGGAAGGCTAACTTGCAATTACTTACAAATCTGTTCTGCATGTACAGGAGCAGACATTGAACTTATGAGGATGGTTTGGCCAGTTAATGGATCTTGGGCTAAGTGAGGATGTACTGGATGATGTAAATGACTGGTATCATTAGAAGTACCTGCAAAAATAACAAGAGCATATATCAGTTTAGAAGAGCAGATTGTTGCCAGCGATTTATACTGCAATAATTACATTTTTGCAGAGCAAATATTTTGATTGGCAATTTGAATAATTGCCTCTGGGTATTCATTAAACAATTTAACCAGTCTTCAACCACATTAAGCACTGTGTTTATTTGCACTGTTTTGACTGCATTAACAGCTGACTTATTGAAATATTTGTAAGAATTCTGTAATCTGTCAAGGGAATTCTGTGTTTAGATATCCAGAAAAGACTAAGAAGTACAAAGCACAATCTGAGGCTGTAGAACTGAGAGAAAAAGATGAGCAGACAGGACAAGCATTTAGCTAACAATTATATGACTTGAAGCTCAGTCAGTGTGGTACTGGTCAAAGTGCTTGCTTACATCATGATTCCCTCAGCATCTCAGTATGCTAAATTCAACAGAATACAGCATGGTAAGTTTGAGATGTTGTTAACTTACCTCCCAGTAACATTTCCTGAAGCAAACTGTCAATTTTAACAATTCCAAATAGTTTAACCAGTTGTATTTGCTCAATCATTTGCCAGGTGATACTCTGGAGTGTAGGCAGTAAAAGCAAAAGCTCTCCAAATCTTCCTCGGGAGTCATACTGACGGTCATTGATATAATCTTCTAAACTGATCTGGACTTGGTACCGCATGTTCTTAATCTTCATTGGATTACTCAGGCCTTTTGCATCTGAAAAATGACAAAACCATACAATCAAGGCAAATTTTGATTTGGGAGGAGCATCTTACTTTTTTTTTTTTCCATTTTGTTCTTTTCCTTCCAGCTAGATATCATGAGTATATGCCATATCAACAAAAGTCACTTTCAATATAATCTGAATAAAATCAATAATTAACAATAATTCTGAGATATATTTTCAGGAATGTACCTGGATCAAAAAACACAATCGCTTTCAGGCAAGCATACTCATTGTCATCTATCTGAATTTCCTGGAAGGGTCGAACTAGTTCATCTAGGATTCGATTTGCCACTCGGCTGATCTCCACTTCAGTACTGTTGCGATGGATTATATAGTTGTTACCTTGGAAAGAAAGAATACCAAGATGTAGACTGATATAAAGATTTAGATGCAATATACTACACGATGAAAATCATTTCCAAAAATATATTTTATTTTGCTTAATTAAATTAGTATTTTTTCATTCAATAGCTCTCCTTTATAGCACACACAAATTTCATGATGCAAATAAAGTTCTACGTACCAATTACAGCTCTCACCTAGTGAATAAACTATGCGGATAAATATGCCATCATGTGTAGTTACTTATTAGTCCACGGGACTGAGATGGATATTTGAATGCACAAGCATGGAATAAGCAAGCCTAACTGATCTAACTTTTTTTCTCCCCCCATTATATCCCAAGATGAATAATCAGATTTTTCAGTAGACAAAAAGCCTATTTTCAGAGAAGACATCAGGAATGCTTCATTATTCCTAACAAAACGTAGAAGCATCAGAAAACTTTCAGTAAATAATCAATTTTACCTCTTCATTTTAAATTTCCATTTTGGGTATATCTTAATATCTTAATTCAACTACTGTACAAGAAAGCATCTAACATAAGTGGTGAGAACAGTGGGATGACCACAGAGCTTCCAGAAGCCACAAAGTTATTTTGGAAAGAAAAGTTGATAAGCATATCACAAGAGATCCATGCCAAAATGACTCATGAACTATATAGACATCTACCTCGAAGTATCAGAAATAAACATAGCCTCAAACTATTTCTTCTTTCAGTATGTATGCTGATTCTGGTAATGCTGACTACAATTTTCTGCTTATTATTTTCTCATTATTTGTCCTTATTATTTAATAATCCTGATAAAACTGTATTATTTATGTTAATTTTGTCAGTAAAATGACAGCTAGAGAAAGAACTCGATCAAAGAAGTCATCTGTATAGTTTCTAATTTGAAAATATTGCTGATGCCAGTAATATCTTCAGAGTAAGCCCTTTCTGTCCTTTAACCTTATGGTGCGTGTGAAAGAAAATTCAAACTGAATCACAGCTATGGAAAACCCAAAGAAGTAGCAGAAAACTCCTTAGTACCACAAGACTGATGAATAAACTAGTTTGAGTTGATATTCTGCATAGTATTGACACACATCGGCTGTCCAAAAAAGACTTAAACACTTTCTTACAAAACAGCTAAAGAACTGAACACATTAAATGAGGACATTTTTGGTAGGGTGCGCTTTAGACTTGCAGACTGCTGTGTCAAAGATTGCTAACAAATGTCTCATCATGCCATTATGCACATAGGCACATATCTCATCATATGACTGTGCCTCTCTATTGTGTGACTGAAGGGAAGACTTGCTTCCACAGTGTGACAATGTTCCTTTCCCTAACAGCTCCGGTCTCTTTATATAACCCAGCAAAGGTTATGATCAAGAAGCTTGTTGCATGATTTGTTACACATGCAACACTCACACTGTTCTGTACATGTAGGTACCTGCATCTAACATGGCAGGGAAAAAAAGGATTGCTCTTTGCATGGTGACACATGGCAGCTGTCAAACCAGCAGTGAAAAAGATGTTGGGAAAGACAGATGCAGGGAACAGGCCATCCACTTTCATAGAAGAATCTTCTGTGATAATTTCTGAAGAGCTTTTAGGAAAGAACCAGGTAAATGGTTTTCATGAGATTGAAATTATTAAATGACTCTTCTCTCTTGAATGAAGATTTCTTATGTGATTTTGGTACTGGTGGTGTTTTTTGTTGTTATTGTGCTGTTTTGTTTTTTTTTCTTCTTTTTTTTTTTGTATGCGATAAAGATACAAAAAATGATGCTAACATAAGGAAATCACTTGCTAGGAAATCTCTAAATTGTGGCTTCTGGTATTCTGCTTTTGCTGGAACAGGATAGATGACATTATGTCTTTAATAGCTACTTAGCATTCACAAAAGCATTGCTTTGATTATGTCAGAACAGTTGTCCAACTTAAGTGACTACATGGTTGCTAGTGTACTATATCATCATCATTATTAATTGAAATAAAACCAATATTTACCTAAAAGTAAAATGTCCTTATACGCCATGGACCGTTTTGCTGCTCCAAGCAACAGGTGTTCCCCAGCATGTGCTCTCAGCAGTGCAACCTTAAAAACAGTAGCAGACTCATTAGAAAATAAAGCAGTAACTTCCAAGAAAGGGCAAAATGAATGACCATGCATATTAACATGAGTACTTTTAGCTACATGTACTGTAAGGTCATATGGTAAAATATCAAATAAATATAAAAACTTTCCACCGTATAACATTGTATTTATGATTTATAATTATAATATTATAATAAAATTATCATTCCTTGTCATTTCTAGCAGTTAGGGATGATCTTGAACATATAAATCTACGAAATACTTCTAAGTCAGTACAGTTCTTGTATTAATTTCCCTGCCTTTATTTCATTAACAAATTTCACTCTGAAATTTTAGGTTGGTGTCAAAGACTCCGGTGGGCTGGAATGAACCGTAATGGTAAATTCTTCACTGTTACTCCTTCATTTTTGTCATCAAAATTGTATGCATTACATAAAAGAGCTTTTTCCCCAACACAATCAGATATGCTAAAATAAACACTACAGTAAACAATGAAGAAACTTGTTTCCTACCAGGAAGGTAGTACAAAATGTTATCATTAGTTTACTCTTTGTCACCTATTTACTTTCCCTTCTAAAATCTCCTCGGAGCTTCAGCACTGACCTCTGTTAACTCACAAAATTTCTCTTTTTGCAAGCATTTCCTTATGAAGCCAAGCCCATTCTTTATGGGTGATGTAAAGGAATACAGCACCTAGGAATACTTAATATATTAAGACTCTCAGTAGAGTTAACTTATCCAGATTGGCCTGCTCCACAGTCTGATTCCAATCAGGAATTGTTTTTCGCAAATTAGATGATTAATGTAATTAATAAACACACAACACACATTAAAAAGAAGTCATCACAAAAATAAATAAATAAATAAATAAATAGGCATTTATTTTAACTCCCAATACCTTTGTCATTAATTTTCGAAGGTATTCAAAGTTCAGGAATATTTCCCAAATATGCACTCTTCAAGCAGTGCATTCTCAGCCTTAACTTATCTATCTGTACTGATGACTTTTTTCATTTAAGTAAAGACAGTAATTTCTTAATGACATCTGATCCTTTCCATATTTTCATGTCATCTTAGCGAGTTGTTTTTTGCTTGCTTCCAGTGCCTTTGTAGAACACTGTATTTAAAGATCCAACACTACATTTCTCTTTCTTTTACAGATTTTTAACTTGTCTGTTGAGTTTGTGCATATATATAGTATTCCATGAGTCTGCATAGATAGCAAAGTACTAATGTGGGTTTATCTCCTGTGTCTGAACCAACTCCATATTTCTGCCAAAGTGTATAAAAGGGAACGGACTCAGTTTTAGTTTCAAACCAAATTATCTAACTTTCTTAATGAAACTTTGTTAAAAACTGAAGAACTAAAGAGGAAAAAAAAAAAAAAAAAAAAAGAGGAATTGCTCTATTTCACTTCTTACAGTAATTTTCAAGCTAAATCAGACATCGCTGAGATCCTGAGCCATGAATTAATCTTCTATCCAGAAAGTTGGTGACAAGACAGCCTACCACAACGTGAAGACACTTATTCTATGTGTGCCAACATGGTTGGCTCTGAAACCCACTAAACATTAGGTGCATTACAAATGAGATTATAAGTCAGAGCTCTGTAATAAAGACCCTGAGGAACCCTTCATGTTTTGATGATTTTTTTTCTCTACACTTTTGTTATTTACAATATGAGTACATTATATCATATGAAATATTACTTGCTATAGAGTGACATCAGCACGTGTTTGGCATTTGTTCAAGATTCTTATGGCTTTTATTTTTTGCAAGCAGAGAAAATCTGCTTCAAATTAAAGAACAGGCTGCCTTAAACTATATTATAATGAAAGATGGACATAAAATAAATAGTTTGGAAGATCAGAAAAAATCATGATTTTTTACAATATTTTTTTCATTTCCGCATTCAACTTGGTATTTCTGCTTTCCAAAAGAAAACAGAAAACACTAAATGACTACTGGTTTGCTGAAAAAGTGATTCTTTCTTTTGACAGGCTAGAGCCATATCAACTCCTATTTTTCCATGGTGGTGTTACTTCAAAAAAAAAAAAAAGTTTTAAAATCAGGCATGTAGTATCAAGCTGTATTTGATCAGACACTGCATTATTGTTTTCTCATATAATTAAAATACCACAGAAAGAAAAAGACAGTTAATAATGTTCTCCCTTTGGTCTCTTCTTGTACCTGGTCATCCAGTGGTAACTCACAGAAGCCAGGAATATATTTAGCCCATTCCACCAGGACCAAAAGTTGCTGCTTCATAGATTCACAGACATCACTAATACCAGCAATTTTCTTAGCATTTATGTCAGTGCTTGCACCAGGACTGGAGATTGAGATCTGGACATATTGAAAGAAAGAAAGTTAATAATGTTAAATTTCATATAGTTGCATTTTCAGAGCAAACTAAGAAAAAAAAAAATGACAGCAGTTATCACGTACCCTTACGAAATTCCTTGACTATACAGACAATACAGATAAAATAGTCTGCACAAAAATTATAAAAATTAATTTCACATTTATTACTGCTATTCTCATCATGGTACAATGTCTCCTCCTTCCAAAATATTGCTTGTAAAGATTCTAAAGCCTCCACTGTCTGTAGCCAGGAGGGTTTTGTTTTGTTTAGGTTCAGGTTTTGATCTTTTTTTCCTTTAAAATGGCTGTAATTTACCTCATTTTAGAAAAAAGAAAGAGTGCACATGCAATAAAATGAAAGGCAAAGAAAGAAAGAGAAAATGGGTAGCATGTTCTTCTAGTGAAAAGTGTTACTAACTTCTTAAGTTAAAATAGGGACAGAACAAAGTAATGTATGAGACCATTGAAACAGTTTCACTTTACATTTTACTTAAGGATACTTAAATTCTGAGATTTGATTATTCCTGTAAACTCTCTGCTATCTCCCCACTCCAACCTCTAAAAAATAAAAAATAAAAAATAAAAAAAAAATCCAAACAATAAACTGTTTGATTTTTTTGTAGTTACAAATTTCAGGATTATGGATCCTATTTAGGTTGACTTCTGCCATATCCTCCTCATTCTCAGATCTGTGTTTAATCACCCATTGGGACCCATGGTGAAATCCCATTATCCTTGGATGGTCAAAGGGAGTTGCACTTCTGAACTAAAGCCCAACACTTCCTACATAATTCAGTAGCCTAAAACACTGAAAACAGCTTAGATAGTAATGGCAGTTAACCATCTGAATGTCTGTTCTCAGGAGAATACAGCAGTCAATGAGATTAAAAAAAGAAAGTCCTCAGAGATCATTCAAAGGCAGTGATGTAGGAAAAATAGTTGGGATATTGTCTCTTTGCAGGCAGACCATTTGTGAAATCCTTGCTGTAAACACGAGTCTATTTCTGGCATCTGTTCTACAAAAACAAAGTTGAAAAAAATACTGAGTATTGTTTAGGTAGGTAGGATCTAGTAGAATAATTTAGTCTACAAAAACAAAAAACAGAGAATAATGAAATGCAATGTATTTCATTCTTTCCAGAAAAGTCTTGATTGTCAGTCAAAAATACCTACACAGGGAAGAAAATTCTCATAGCAGGAGGTTCTCTGCTGTGATAATGCCAGAAAAACAGATATATCACCATCCACCAAGTAGGAGTTAGTTCAAGAGGGAAAAGAACATGCAGGTTCTTTAATCATTACACATAATGACTCATGAACTTGAAACACACTTCATCCTTAATATCCTATGCTGTACAGCTTGATAAATTACAAGATTATGGGCTGTGTGCTGAAATTACTTGGTGAACTTCTATTGGGGATTCATTATGAACTCCTAGGACTGCATGTCTTAACAAAGAAATAAAACAAACAACTTTCTCTTTCTCCATTGCTCTTCCGGGTTGCAACATGGGTGTCACCAGCTTGATGAACAAAACAACGTAACACTACATTCCTATAATCCTGAGGAATGTCAGTGACATATCTTTATTGAGAGTACAGCATGTCCCTTACACATTTATGTAATCCAAGACCCTCAATCTGTGGGAGAAGAATTTTACTTGCACAATTTATCCTCACAAACAATCCTTGGGGATGAAATAATTTGTTTTCCCCATTTTAATATGAAATTTAAAAAATGGAATAATGCCACTTTCTTCCTCATTTTCAAAGCTCAAATACTTGACCAAGTACTGGGCTTGGGGGTTGTGGTAGACAAAAAGTTTGACGCAAGCAAGCAGTGTGCACTTACAGCCCAGAAAGCCAGCAGTATCCTGGGCTGCATCAAAGTAGGGGTGACCAGCAGGGCAAGGGAGGTGATTGTCTCCCTCTGCTCCGCCCTCATGAGCCCCCATTGGGAATACTACATCCAAGCATGAGGCCCCTAACACAAGAAAGATGTGGAGTTGTTGAGAGTCCAGAGGAGAGCTATGAGGATGATGAGACGGCTGGAGCACCTCTCTTATGGAGAAAGACTGAGGGAGCTGAGCTTGTCCAGGAAGACTTCACTGTGGCCTTCCAGTACTTAAAGGGAGTTTATTAACAGGAGGGAGACCGACTTTTTACACAATCTGAGAGTGATAGGAAAATGGGGAACAGTTTTAAACTAAAAGAAGGGAGATTTAGGTTAGATGTTAGGAGGAAATTACTTTAAGCATAGTATGGCAGTGCAACAGGTTGCCCAGTGAAGCTGTGGAAGTCCCATTCCTGAAGGTGACTAAGGCCAGGGTCCTTGATCTGGTGGGTGGCAACCCTTTCCAGGGAATTGTAACTAGATGGTCTTTAAAGTACCTTCCAACCCAAGATGTGCTATGATTCTATCGTATGATGTATGACACTAACAAACTCTTGAGATCTCTTCTCAGGACTGAACTATTACAAGCCCATTCAACTGAGGCAAAAACAAGGACCTCTAGAACTTGGCTCTTCCATCACATTAAAATAACCTCTTGGCCTTTAAGGTTTGGCATATTGGAAGCAATTCTCTTTTATTACACCATATCAAACAATAAGAATAATAAATTTTTGTGTGAATTCACAAGGTGGTGTTTTAGGACAGGAATCTACCAGCTGACAAGAACTTTGTGGCAGAAAAGACTGAGGATGTGATTCTCTTTAAGAAAGCTCTTATTCCTGAACTGCATGAGTCAGTTGGAAATGATTAAGGGACTGACACACACATGCACATACTAAAAAGCATAATAAGCAAGTTCAAAGAATTACTAAGGAGGTAAAATAGGTATATTTTTCATACTGCATAGCTATGAAAGGTAGGAAGGTCCATTATGTTCATCTGCCCAGACACGCAATATCTGCCAAAGACTATCACCCAGCAATTCCTGCATCAATTCTTTACAGACAGTTCCACTCTAAGAGAGATGCTGATAAAGGATGAGATTACAAAACATTTGGGGATGTATAAATCAGTCAACATGAAATCATAAAGGTGGCAGTTAAATTCTAAGTTAGCAAGAGGTGCAAGAATGCAGAATCAATGACCAAGATTTATTTCCGTTGCAGAAAAGGACTGGAGACTGTTCCATTCAGCAATTGATTGAATAGGGAAAAAAAGGAGAAAAAAAGAAGAAAATGAAGTTCAGATGAGACAAAGAAAATTTAAAAGAAAGCTGAGAAAAGACTTTGCAGTTGGAACACTTCTGTTTGCCTTATTTATAATACCTAAGGATATTGAAAATGGGATTTTCAAAAGAATGTAAGGAAATGAGTGTCCATACCCATTAGAAATTTAATGGGTTTGGACAATTTTTTCACTAATGTTTCATATAAAAGCAAGCCTCAAGAATAGATAGGTGCCACCAGCTGCCTGAGACAGCAACTGATTTAAAAGCAGTAGGAACCATAAAGCTTTATTAAGAAAGGCGCCTAGGACATATTGTCCAGGACAAAGTAGAAATTTTATATTGACTTTGCTTTAAGAATGAATTCTGTTGCTGATTCTTTATTGGAAAGAGGAAACTGAGTATATTTTATATTTTGGAAGTAGGAAGAAAGTAATCTCTAAAATGATATTGAATACAATGAGAATCTGAAAGTATTTAACCACAGAAAATATTTTCTTGAAGTCATTAAAGAATTTTATGGAAGATATTGGTACCTGACGGGAAAGTGTTTCAGCTTGTGACAATGTGCTAATAGAGGGAATGTTGCAGCCATCAAAAGTATTTCTTCTTGTACTTATTCTGTCCCGTTCATTTTGTACAGCTGGAAGAGAATAATTGTCTCATTTATTGACTTGTAAACATTGCCACACAATATCATTACAGAGGCTTACTAGATAATTATAAGAAGTATGGCATTCAAAAAACCTTGTGCTTTCAGCTCTAAACAATGAGAAAGAATGACAGTACATGTTCATGGTCCTTATCCACATTATGATGTTTGTCTATAAAACTTAATACAACCAACTGTAGCTAGAAACTGAACTTCAATAAATGAACCTTTTTGATAGTGTTAGAAACGGACCTCTCAGTACTGCTGAATAGGTCAACAGGTACAGCACCGTGAAAAATGTCTGAGTGAGAGGTAGTTTCCTGTGAGAAACCTTGATACAGCAATGGAAAATGAACTAAATATTCTAGTAAAATAATTTCAAGATTTAAATATCATACTTTGATAATGAATTCCTAGCTAGTTTACAGAACATTAATAAGAAATCAAAGAACAAAAAAGCACCAAAAAGGTTCCAGGCAGGTAACTTTTGTCCCATGGGGGACAAAAAAAGGTAGTTGAAAGGACTTTAAATAAGGAATCCTTAATCAGTACATGCAAGGCTTATGAAGCAACAAGGCTTACCTCTGAATTCAAGGAAGAGTGAAAAATAAAACTATCAATCAGATATTTCTACAACCTAGAGCATGTCCAAGGTTAGGCCAGGAAAAAAAAAAAAGAAAAAAAAAAAAAAGAATTATACTGATCAAAATATTTTTTACTGCACAAGGAATCTCATCATCTTTTAAGAGCAGCAGCTTTATTTCCAAAGATATGTTTGCTGTTTTGTGAGCAGATCCAATAAAAATAGAAAATAAATAAATAAAAAACTGAATAGTTTTCAGGGTTTATCTGAACAATGCACATAGTTTATTCCTGAGGAGTAGTAACTTTTTGCCAAGGACATTCAATGATGGGCCTTTTATTAAAGTCACAACAAGAAATGTTGTGCAGTGATAAACACAACGTGCTAAATGTGCCTGAAGAACTGAGACAAAAAATATAAACTTTTTTAAAAAAATGGGGAATAAACACTCACTTTTAATCTCAGAAGCTTAGTGTCACATTGCTTATTAAAATAATGTCAATAATAATTAATATTAATAAAATAGTAAGCTATTCTGCCAATCAGTAGTGAAAGTCACTAGCAGAGCACTTGAGAATCATGGGCAAATTATTTTTTGGGAATACATACTTTCAGATGTACTGAATTGTCTATATTTGTAGACCCTTTGTTCAGACTCTGTAATGAAGGGGGAATATTTGCTCAAAGAGTGCTTGTATAGCCTCTACCAGCTGAAGCCCTTTTCACCTTTGCCTTGAAGGAAAGAAAGTGATTTTCTGGAAACAAGCTAAGAATATATCATACAGACTATGCTACACTTATGCTATAAGAGATAACCTGATTGTGTAGAGAGAGGTCTATAACAGCATCTGAGCAGTGAAATCTACAGTTAGGTCTCTTGAATTATTTTACTGCTGGGAAGCCTTGAATAAACATGACTTGGATATGGGGAAAAATGAAAGCCTTATAGGTAGTGGAACTGAAAGAGGCAGAATAGTGTAAATGAGATTAAAATTCTGAACAGGATATATATTTTCATTTATAACACAAGTCAGCAATATGCCTTGTGTTCACATTAGCTAACTGTGCACTGGGCTACCCAGTATGCAAGAGACACTGGAAAACTGGTCCTAGTAGAGGGCTATGGTGCTATAATCCACATGATATCCAAGGTGAAGCTGAGTAGTTGATTTTATAGGTAAAAGAGGATCAAGGTGGAGGTGATCTTCAGTAGACCCAGATCCTTCTCACATGTGCAGTGAAAGGCCAAGGCAATAGACACTACACTAACTGCAAAATGAGACATTCTAGTTAGACATTACAAATAAAATCTTCACAGTGAGGGCTGTCAAGCAGTGGGAAAAGTTGCTGACAGAGAAAGAAATGCACTCTCTTAGGGACTGTCTAAACCTGGCTGCACAGAGTTCTTAGCAACTTTACTGAACCTAGAAATTATCTGTTTTAAATGGGGGCCTGGCCCAGATGACTTCCAGACGTCCCTTCTAAGCTAAAATATTCTTTATTTCCCATTTTTGAAAGTCTACAAAGCCTTGCTTTTTGCACAAGTTCTAGGGCTGCTATGTATATGAAGGTCTTCCTTTTTTTTTCATGTCATACACATAACCAACATGTTACTGACTTTAATGATTCAAATTCCGGAAGACTAAACTGTGTTCCACAAAAATATCAAACCTATTTCATACAAGCACAGTACTACCTGTTTAGTTAGACTATTCGTCTGTACTTACAAGGAAAATAATCCTGTTATCTCATACTATAACTTGAATACTAGCAAAGCAATATGATACTACAGATACTTAAAAGCATAAAGAAACAGCTTCCTTCATCTTAGGAAAGCAATGTCTAGACTAAAACTGATACAGTCTAGTTACAGGACAGTCATGTGCTCCCACTGCAGACTGGCCTTCCAGATGATGTATCATATTCCAAATAAAACAGGTTGCAAAGAGTATCAGAAAAAAAACCACAAATTTTGCAATGAAATAATCATTTCTGACTGCTTATTTGAACCAGATCAGGATGCCTTTTGCCACTACATTATAACTGAAAGTGAAGAAACAAGCCCAACAACTTGGTGTAAAAATTTTCTGATATTTCTACTGACTTTCTTTTGCTATTGCTCTGATAACACAGTAGTGCATGATCCTTCCATGTCCTCAAGAAGATCACCAGAAGATCCATGTTTCATAGGTAGAGGCATAAGTATATTTTCTCACATACATACAAGTATATCTCACATACACACATTAAGTCCCTGTGAGATTGGGAATATTCCTGATTGTTGACACTCAGTTAACACAGTTACCTCACACTTCTTCCTTAAGAGTCTCAAACATTTAAAATGAAGGGAATAATAAGCAAGTCAGCCCTGTAGATTAGGTAGGGTAGAAACACAAGGCTAAACATGCATTTTATGACTGAAATTTGGAAAAAAAATTATAAATCAGAACTGAAATCCTGTGCTTTGAATTTTTTCCAGGTATATGGCACTTAGAAAGCAATGAATTTTGGTGCCAGGATTCATGGATTAAGCAGTTGAGATTCACTTTAAACCTGTCATGTTTGATATTGCCTGAAGTGTTAAAACTGCTTATCCACTGAAAATTAGATGATGCAAACTTCACCTCAGTAAAAATCTCCATCATGCAGGCACTACTGCAGATTTTCCATTTAATTATTCTGCTGTTAATTTTTTTTGAATTTTGATTAAATTTGGAATTTTGATTAAATTTTTAAACTTAGATTCTATTACTTTAAACATATCAAATAATAAACGAATCTATTACCTTCTTTTTTCATTCCTGCTCGAAAACATTTTTTTAAACGACAATATCTGCACTGATTCCTTTTGTCCTTGTCAACAACACATTGCCGACTGAATCTATCAGAGACAAAAAAGGGTAAACATACAAAGCATTAATAAAGCACCACTCTGGCTTGAGAGATTTCATACCTCCTTATTTTGCAAGCACATGTGTGTATCTACGTATAAAATACGTATTAGAATGGGCAAGAACGGAATATTTTTGAGTTATGCTTTATTGTGAGATATGCAAGTGACTGCCTACACAGAAAGGGTCGTGATGAAATGCTACAAATAGAAGAAGGAAAGGATAATTGATGAAAATGTCAACTGTCACCAGCTCAGAGCAGCCCACCCATTCCTGCAAAACCGGTACCTTTGGTTGGCAAAGTTTACTTCTAGGAGCTAACAAATGAACAAATGAACAAATGAAGTTATCTGTAATATTACAGGTGACAAATTAAACAGGAAACAGGAGGAAAAAAAAAAACTGAATACCTGAATAAAGTAAAGATGCGGAAACACACAGAGTGTGACACTGCAAGAAAGTTTTCCTGGCTCTCATGCACATCCACAGATGTTCCTAATGAAAATGTATATGAGGCATCCCCTCCTCTCCATTTGCTTCTGCCTTTTTTATTTATTTATTTATTTATTTGTATGTGTTAGATAAATAGATCTATCTTCTTCAGAGCTCTACTCGGCCTCAGCTACATCAGCTCTTATTACACCATTTTAGAAGCCTGTCTATGATCATGGCAGATCAGTGAGTATCTGCCTTATATATCCACAATTAGAATGTTAAGTATCTAAGGAAGAATGGAGCAAACAACATTTCCAGCAAAAAGGCTACAAACAAAGTTTTCAGTTTTATCTATCTGTCTAAACTCACAAATATATTCTGTGCATGGCTTAAAACTGACATCTTAAGGACTCGGAATTGCACAGAGCAATTCCTCAAACATGGTACACATAGCTGCAGAATGACAATTTGGGCATCTAGGCACAGAAAAGTTAACAGGTTGCCGTTCAGATTGACAAGGAGGGTAATAGTCACTAACAGGACTATTGCAGGACTTATGCAGAGCATCAATGAAGAGGGAATGTGTATATAGATTTGATCTGTCTTTAAAGAAAGACTCATAAATTTTAGTTTTTCTCTACAGAAACTGCCTTAACAAAGAACAATTTTAAAATTAAAATTAAAAATCAGTTAAGAATCACACTCTCCACACTGCCAGTGAAAATACAAGATTTTCTTTCTTTCTTTCTTTTCTTCTTGTTTTGTTTTGTTTTGTTTTCAGGGGATTTCTGTCTGGATATGGTCCTGGGCACTCTGGTCTAGGTGTCCCTGCTTGATCAAAGAGGTTAGATCAGATAACCTCTAGAGGTCCCTTCCAACTTTAGCTGTTCTGTGTTTCTGCTATTCTTTGTAATCATAAATAAAAGACTGAGACTGCACTTCCGTAACACAAGGACATCAACCGCATCAATGGACGCATGGAAACTCTGACAGAACAGATCTTCCCTAATAAAAAGATACCTGAGTATCTATACTTGTATAAACATTTTTTGTTCTGGTAGTGATAACAAGTTAATTCATAGGAAAAAAACAAAAACAAAAACAAAAACAACAACAACAACAACAAACCCAACTAATACAAAACATTTAAAACATTCAGCCCAGCTTCAATAATTAAAGTTAGACTTTCAAAAAGTGCTGTCTTGATGCCCATTAAATTGTTGGAAACTTTTCATTCTTAGCATTTTGTCTGCAAGTCCTACAAGTGGAAAAAAAAAAATCATCAATGAATAGAATACTCTCATGAGGTTTTAAAAGCTAACTTAATATGTTTTCTTTAGGAGCATATATAGTGCTACAAAGATTCCACATCAGAGAAGCCATTTATAGGTGGTCCAATTCATTAGACTTCAATGAAAGGGATTGTTTTCCACATTATAAGAACATAACATCTCCGCAATGCTCCATCAGAAGTGCTGTTTAGAATTCCTTCAAAAGAGGCTGAAAATACCCCTATGCAGGTCCGAAAAATCTGAAAATGTCTGAAAGTAATGTTTGCATATATTCATTAATTTAGTGCCTCTAGATTAGTTTTTAAATACCTGCATGTATAAACATGATTTTTCCGTATACTGCGTCTAAAGAATCCTTTGCATCCATCACAACTGGAAGCACCATAATGTTTTCCAGTTGCTCGGTCTCCACATATTGCACAGAGACTGCTGATCCCGCTGTCAGTAGAATTCATGTTGAGAGGTTCTCCAGAACTGTCTGAAAAGAGGGAAGAACAACATATACAGTTATGGACAACGTTCTGAAAAAGTAACACACAGACAATTTATACTTAAAAAATAAGGATTTTTCTGATTTTTTTTTTCCTTTTTAGTTGTCACTATTTAATTAGCACAGTGTATTTTATTATATCTGACAGTTATTCTGATGAACACTATTAAATTTATAGAGTCAGAATAGCAGAACTTATGAAGTTCTCAACAGCAAATAATTTTATTCCAAACTGTTTCCAACTGAAAGGGGTTATAAAGTAAATGTAACCTTGCAGGTCTAACTACATATGTATTCTAACAAGAGGAGGAACTTTGGCACAAAGCAGCATTACATGGATAGCTGACAAAGACATCATAGACCACGTCTAATAGGAGATGGCAGTAACTGTTGACTATCACTGAAAAAATCAATTATATTAAAAAAAAATACAGTAGACTTAAGGAAAGAATGCTAAGAGGACTTAGTTTTACTTCCTTGAACAACTTTTTTGAAGGAAGATTGTCTTAAAAGTTGTGAGAGAATATTATCTAAATATGCTCAACATTTAATCATTGAATGTGGAAAACAATACTGAATTCACATTAAATCAGAATAGTTATATTTATTATCCTTTGAGTCACAAGGCTTAACAGACATATTTTCTGAGTATGCTTCTGTTCCTACGGAAGGAAAACCTTAGTATCTATTAAACTTTTGTAGTTATCCAAAGAAAAGAGGTTAGCATTATTTAAATATTCAAGCCTACATTAAGAAGTACATGAGTTCATGAAGAGCGAAAATGTCAAAAAGCAGAACTGTTAATGTTGATAGACATTATATTGTAGAAGAGCCATCTGAAATGTGTCATGCAAAAATACAATAAAATTTTGCTTATGCCCTAAGGAATTTACAATGTAAATAGAATTCTTTAGATGAAGAAAAAATTTGCATCAACTTTTTAGACATAGTTGATTAGAATCACATTTTAAAATGTTCAAATAAAAATGAAAAGGTAAGAATTCAGTTCCCCGAAGAATTCATTGTTTTAAAATTGTGTTTGTTATGACCAAAAAATTATTTTAAAAAATAGTTTACAGGGTAACTTCATTTGAAAAATGTAAAAGCTTTACTTCAGACTTTACTGATTTGGGATCAGGACATATCCAAATAATTAAAATATTTAAATGTAATGATGAAATACTTGTAGCAATATGACTTGTATCTCCTTGTGTCTGTGTTTATGCGTATACGTACTGTATACGTACATATATATGGAGATACTTGTTTTCTTTGGGTAATACTCTGAAAGAAAATGTCTGGGAAATCAACTTGATTTTGCAGAGTTTGTTCAACAGAACCTGTCTGAATGTGGATAGTTAAATTTCTCCGAATAGATCTAATGAACTTAGAAGTTTTGAAAATACACATCTGAAAATTCAGAAAGGCAGCTCTCAGATCCAGCCTACACTGTAAATGGAAATCAACCTTTTAATAAATTCTAACAGAAAATATACTTAGGCTAACCTCAAAGCAAACTCTGAAGAAAAAAGGACTACATTTAGTAAAAAATAGTTGTCAAAGTAATCATTTACAGTGAATAATTTAACTAACTGGATCACTAACACACAACACAGTATAACCTCCCTAATCAGCTTTCCCATTCTGTGTAACATTAACAGAACAGAAAAAATGAGATTCAGCAAAAAACAAGTGACCAATGAAATCATCCATAGTAAAAGGAAAATCAGATAAATCCTCTAAAACTTACATAATCATTGTTGATAGCTTCAAAATCATTTAGGCTGTGAAGGTCTGTTTTTCCTCCTAAATCAATAATAAAATCTACTTTTCTGTTTACTGAGCGCGTTGTAAAGTAATACTAGAAATTCAAATAAAAATTCAAGTCCAGTAATAAAAACTAACTTGGATTCTATATGGAAAGAATACATAGACAGGGGAAATGGAACATGCTGAGTATTTTTCCTGCAAATCGCTAAGTATTTGTTCTGCATTTCAATATATTTCATAAATATTTCATAAATACTATATCTGCGTTAGAAATACAACTAAAACTAATTCTCAAATATATCAGAAGATTTGGAAAGACACTTTAGGGGAGTTTAATTCACTTGATATTTCTCTTCACTTTAATAGACTGAAACTACCCGGTTTTGCTCAATGCAAAAAGTTGGCAGAATGAAATGGTGTGCTTCCTATTCCAAGCATTGGTACAATTGGTACAATTTCTAAAAAAAATAATAATAATAAATTAAAATTTTAAAAAATCTACCTGAAGTTAAAATACTACATTAGCCAACAGTTTATGCCAACAGTTTTCCTCAGCTAAACATTAGCTTGTAGGGAGACAACATGTTTTCTAAAAAATCACCCTCATTCATACATACATATATGATTAGTTTAACATTTACATAAATAAAATATTGTCCAACAAATAGAAACTAGGCATTGAGAAGCAGTGGCTATTTTTTTTTTCCACAAACCTCTGGATAATCTTCTTGTGTCCTTCTGAATGCTATATATAACATTTACTTTCATGTTCCAACTGTCAATACTAGTTATTCATTTGTCTTACAGTAAATAAAACAACTGCTGAATACACCATTTTCTTCCTTTGATTAACTGACTGATGACAGTACAGTTCAGTTATTTTATTACATATAACCACTCTTTTATTTTCCTTAATGTTAAAGAATTATAATGTCATTAACTTAGAGTTAACGATGAAGTGTGAAAGAGATGATTTGTAGTTTGAAAACAATCACCAAATCTTCCATTAATAAAACATTTTGCTAACACCTTAAAACATTAATAAACTTCACATCTCCCACTAGCTGACATGATTTTGCATCATGGAGCAGAACTCACCATTGCCATTGTACAGAATCTGCATAGTTTCAAACTCCAGTGCGGTGTACGTTGGATCTAAAACTTCACTGTAGTTTGCCATTTCCATGTCTAATATTGGTTCTGAGACCCTCATCATTCAGAGCGAAAACAGTGAAAAAGCTGCTCAAATGTACAACCTTTCCATTCTGTTTCACAGTGGTTGATTATCCAAAGTTAACTATAACCGTGTCCCTTGCGTGCTACAGTGGGAGGAGCTGGAAAACTGCTTCTGCATGCTATATTCTACCTGCATTTTTTTTTTCTTTTATGATACAGTGCAACCCTTCTGATAATCTTGGAATGCTTCATGGAATTACCTTATCAGAAGTTACACTGGCTCTAGTTTTTTTCATGAACTCAGGTACATCCAGGAAGCTTCCTATCTCCTGTGACCTTCTACACATTTTGTTGTCAAGTAGTGGTGTAAAGGTTCTAAAAAAACCACTCTCATTTGCTTTGTGTAAAGAGACTGTAGATTAATATGGAATTTTGTTCTCTCTGTTCCGAACAGTAAGGAAGTACAATACAATTACAGACTATCCTCAGTTCCCATCTATCTGGCCTTATTATGTCTATTTTTACAACTATTCATGTTCTTCATCAGTGACAATAAGCTGGCTGTGCAGGCATGCTTAACAAAGATCTGAGCAACATAAACACTAAAGCAAGAGTTCCCCCTCCTCTTTACAGTCCCTCCCCAACACACACTGTGTTGCTGCGATGGCAGCAGTGGATCTCATATGCTCTCAGAAGATGGCTTCCTGCTCTAAAACTTCTTCATGCAGAATGAGATGGCAGTGTGCTGTTTTCAGAGCCACTAAGGTACACAGAAAAGAAATTATTTTCCTTCTCTGAACAGAAGGCGGAGATTTTGGGTAGGTGCATTACTCATCAATTAGATACAAAATCCAAACAAACCCCACACAGGAAGTCACTTGAATCTTTGTATAAGGTTGCTGAATTTTGCTTTCTAATCAGGTGTTTTTAAATGCTGCATGGCAAAATTTCAAATTTTCTTGCTTTGCAAGTGAGCCTGTACAGAGAACTACTCTTTACACTGCTAAACAACAGTTACAGTAAAGATTACATGTACAGGAAAACCTTCCAGGTTACGCTTAACCAAGAAGAGGAAATAACTACATACAAAGCATTTAAATGTTCATCGAATGATAAATGTCCGCTATCACATAGCTATCCCCAAATTTAAGAGTATCTTTGACCATGTTCCTTCTTGCACAAATTCCCTGCAGATTTTGTAGGGTGCCCTGTTTAACCCACAGTTGTATTTCCTATGCAGTACAGAAAACAGTATTTGGGAATTTTAGGATTACAACTGAAGTGTTAGACTATTTCATGTCTACAAACAAAAAAAATTCTACAGTAAGTAACATTTCAGTAACGAACGTGTAAAAAGATTCATTATATTTTACCCTCTATACTTTTTTCGTTTTTTAAAAGAAGCATGCAAAATATCTTTGTAAATTAAGGTTGATGAAAAACTATTTGCTGTTGAAAGGCTTTATTTGTTCAAGAAATCACGGTAGTTTCATCATGAGATAGATTCCTGTTATATTCTGATGGTTCAGCTTGAAGTTTCTTCAGTTGCAGAATTTGTTGTAATTGAAGTATTTGCTACATAACTAGTTACTAGTTATAGGAATAAAATGATTCACTGCATTAAAGATGCTAGTTAAAATTATATACAAGGGTTCCACGTTAACTGGAATTATCCTAGTGCATAGGTTTTGATAAGATATCCTAGAAAAAATCTATGACTTTTTACATCAAAACTACATGTTGCACAAGCTCAAACTTATCTTAAGCTAGCTGAGTTGTATTACAAAACTCTAGTTCCAAAACAGTCTGCCATGCAAGTAACTATTAAATAAGGAGTGTATTTAAAACAGAAATGTATGACATTATCAAATACCATTATATCCTCTACTGTTTAAAGCACTTCTTCAGTGCTGCGAAAACAGGCCCCTCAGTGACCACTAAAGAGAGGGAATGAATTGACCCTTTCTGATTCCGTCATATTAAAACTCACTCCAATTGATTTTTTAATATGGAAAATCACACACTATAGAGAACCGTTCTTACTATTTTTTCATGCCTTCATATGGAAATTTCTTACAGTTACATCTTGCATTCATAAAAATCTGTATTTGGGGGGATTTTTTGCTTTATAAAGTAAATCATAAACAATTAATGTATTCTAAATTATTACTTAAAATACTTATATGCTTTCTTTCTGTCTTAAGTGAATCACAATGCAGCCCCTGAATTAAGGCCAAGAAATATTAGCTCTAGATAAGCAAAAGCTTTAAAACTGCATAATTAGTCAGGCTACAAAATAGTTTTCAGACTAGTGATACAGTAAACTTGAGTAGAAAATGATTTTTCAAAATTAATTTTGCACTAACTCTGAAGAAGCAGAAAGCAGCACTATAATGTACTTGTTCACGTGGTTTTGTTGTAGGTTTGTTGGTTTTTTTTTGCTTTAAATCTGATCTCATAGTCACATACAGAAAGCATTCCAATCTTATCTTTAGGACTATTAACCTTGTTAATTGTTCAGTTCTCCATAATAAATGTAATCATTCTTTCTGATTGTGATATAAAATAGTACACAAGCTAATAAAATCAAGGTTATTTCCATAAAACGTCTTCCTGAAAATGAAAACAGCTCTCAGATTACTATCACTACTGAATTTTTTTTATAAGTAGCAATACGTTCCCTTATTACTCTAGTTTAGTAAGAAATATAGGTACTTACAACAAGGTCTTTATTTAAAGGGTTGTTTTCTTGTTTGTTTGTTTCTCACATGTTCTGAATAAGGAATACACATAAAGAATAACAGTATCTCTTTTTGTTTTTTGAGTATGGAGAGTTGTAATTGACATACTCCAAAGATATCATATTTATATTAATAATCTGGAGTATTTATTAAGTATGCTTATAAAACACACACTTTGATATATCTCTTCTGCCATTTGCTGACACGTAAGAGTACACAGGGAGCCTACATTAACCATACCTAATGAAGTCACACGAACTTATGCCATAGTATCACCTTGCAACCATCAACATGGCCAAAGATCTCCAAACTAGAGAGATTATTTGCCAAAAGCTTGATACAGGAAGCTGTGTCCAGATTTTCTCATGTCAGTGAGGAATTTCACCTTTGGCTTATGAAGACACACCTCTGTATTGCTGCAGAGACTGAGTGCCCCATCCCCATAACACACTCTCAATGGGCACTGTCACAGGAAGGCTGCATCAGCTGTGACACTGCCCACCCCAAAACATTTCATAAATGAATCACGAGCAGTGACTCAGAAACTTGTATTCTAATACATATCAAATTATGAGCATGTTTGATATCAAAAGATTCATAATGTTGCAGTGTTATTTTTCATGATGGAGATCATCAGCTGTTTTTAAGAAATAAAAATGTCAGAGGTGAACTGCATCCAAAAAAGAATAATAAATCTAAGTGTGTTATCCAATTCTTAGACATTTTGGAAAATAAATTATCTCTTGTGCTTAAGACCTAAATATCATAATGGAAACATGCCTACAGTCCTCTACAAAAGATCACAGCAAGTCTCTAACACTGTCACTACTCTGCCCCCACATAAAGAACACTATTCCAAACAAGGACAAAGTTGTCTTTGAGTTGATTAAAATAATTTTCAGAAAATATTGTGAATTGTGAGAGCAAATGCAGAGCACAACTACTACTTCCAGTAAGCTGATCAAAGGAACAATTTAATATATACCCAGCATCAGCATTCTGCTTTACCAAATAAATTTGTAGCACTTAGATGTTTTTATGTCTTTTCCATTTTGCATCTTCATTTTGACTTTGCCCAGAAAGTTTAGTGAGTAAATAAAACACTACAAAAGTAAAATAAGAAACAGAATCAACAGCAGATTTCTGCGGCACAAGTATTAGGCAAGGTAATAAGACTATCTGCAACAAATCATGCCCACTGTAATGCAAGCATAAATCTTTCTGGGAAATCTAGGTTAAACCTGTTTCCACTGCACACGTTTTTAGACACTTAGACCACCACATGCATTCTATAAAATTGAGATACTGGCACATACTGAATCTGCCTCTTTTTTTCATTTGATTACTCATTACACTAAACTCCACAGCATCGTACAGCAAAAATACAGATTCCTTTAATAAGTGATGACAAGAGGTAAGGTTTTTCGGTTTGGTTTGGTTTGGTTTTTTGTTTTTTTTTTTTTCATTTTGGATTAACAGGAACAGATCATTACTGTGAGGTGTTAACTGTTTTTATCCTTTTGGCTTCAAAAAGTATCCATCTAGTAGAACAAAATCACTATTTCAATAGCTACGAATCTGCATACACAGAAAAAACAAAGAACATGGATGGCTTATGACTGGTCAAATGCTATGGAGTTGCCTTATTTAGAGTGCTTTGCTGGAAATATTGCCCAGGAGTTATGAAGATGTCAATGACTAGTCTACACCAGAATTTCAAAGGTGAGTAGCAGATTTAACGCTCCAAATTCTTTGAAGTGCAATTTACAGTTTTAACCTTGCAGCCACTGAGGTCTCTGCCCTGTCTGCACTTAAGGGGAAATATCAAAGGAATATGAAAGCTGTAAAATATTTGAAGCCTGATAAATAGTCGCCACAGCATCTGAAGTTAATTTACACAGGCTGAGGATATATCCCACTTTCAGATCCTTGTTCCATATTCCAAATTTCAATCTCTGCAGTTTATTCTAAAAGGATACATGATTTATTCATTTTATATTCTACATTGTCATTGAGGAGATAGGCTACTAGCATAGCAACACTAATATAATGGTGCCATATGCAAAGGGAAGATGTTACACTCATTTTGTAAGGTCAAGGTAAACAAAGTTATCTCGTTTATCTAATTTTATTTCTCACATGCACATACATCAGTTTGCGGAATATCAGTGTGATTCCTAGGTAGCAACTTGCAAAGTACAAAATATTTCAAATCACAAATCCATAGTCGCTCTCTCTTTTTAATATCAAGGCATTTTTTGAGAATGACTCTTACACTGGATTCACTCATATTCTGAAC